GGGTCGGAGGAGGGTGGAGGGAGGCGTCGGGGTGGCGCCATCCTGGCACGCGGCGGAGAGGGGGCGCTGTCGGGCTCGACTGGGGGAGACGCTGGAGGTCGCCGGGGGCGCAGTCGGACTGGGGGGCGCTCGTGTCCCGGCCCTCCCTCCTTACCAACCCCAGCCACGTGCCTGAGAGGGCCGCGCCGTCGAGGGAGAGGCGTAGCTGCGCTGCCCAACTCAGAGTTGGCTTCGCGCCCCCCACCCCCCCAAAATTGGGCCTTGGGGTGCGAGGCGGGGTGAGGGGATCTTGCGGCCCTCTCCAGAGAGCCTGTGGGCCTCCACTGGCAAGTTTCTCTTTCAGTTTCTCGCTGTCTCCCCCTCTTCTGGGGAAGCTCTGACGGGGCCAGGGGAGAGGAAGAGGGGGAGGGCACCTGCCTCCCCAAAGCACCCCCGCCCTGCTTTGGCGGGTTCCTTGTTGGAGGGGACGGGCCGCCTTCCCCTCTCAGCGTGTCTGGTCCCGCACAGGAAAGCGTGTCTGTGGGAGGGGAGGGGCCCGCCTACCGCGGTCCAGGGATGGGCAGGCACGGCAGGCGGGGAGGCCGTGCGGGGGAGACCTCTTCAGCCCCCTGCTCCCCTAGGTGAACAGCCATGGCGGGCTGGATCCAGGCCCAGCAGCTGCAGGGAGACGCGCTGCGCCAGATGCAGGTGCTATATGGGCAGCACTTCCCCATCGAGGTCCGGCACTACTTGGCCCAGTGGATAGAGAGCCAGCCGTGGTAGGCACCCCCTGTCCCTGCCCTCACTCTGGGCGTCCCTACCACCGGGGCCCCTTGGCCTCTGGTTCTACTCGTCGTGTTCTGGTGTAACTCTGGCCCTGTCCGTCTCTGAGCAAAGGGGCGGCGTCCCTGGGAAAGGGGAGGAGGGAAATGGGAGCCCCCAGGAGGACAGTGAGGATGTTTCTAGACGCTGATGCCCTTGTTGGCTGCCAGGAAGGGGTCTCTGGGCCTGGGAGCGCCCCCAGTCAAGCCCCTGGGATTGCCTCTTCGGGCGTGGTGACCTCCTGGCCTGCGGAGGCTCCACCTGAGGTCTCTCTCTCTCCCGCCCTGCCCCAAGGGACGCCATCGACCTGGACAACCCCCAGGACCAAGCCCAGGCCGCCCACCTCCTGGAGGGCCTGGTGCAGGAGCTGCAGAAGAAGGCGGAGCACCAGGTGGGGGAAGATGGGTTTCTGCTGAAGATCAAGCTGGGGCACTACGCCAGGCAGCTGCAGGTGGGTGTGGCCTGGGGCCCTCTCCTTCCAGCATCAGAACCCCTGGGTTTTTTCCTGGCCTGGCCACTGACTCACGGTGCGACCATGAGCTCGCTGGCAACTTTCCTTCAATTTCCCCCGCCCCCTCTTTCTAAATCAGACTGGTCAGATTCCTTTAGCCTGTTACAGAGCAAGGGTGGGGGTTGTTTGTTCCAAACAGAGGGGGATGGGTGAGCAGGCCTTATGGACAGAGGAGGCAGGAGGGACCCAGGCAGACGGAGGCAGGATTTCTTTAGTGGGGAAAGGAAGACCACTCACTCAGCAGATTCTAGAAAGCAGGGACTGAGGCAACCAGACTTCTGGGCCGTTTTAAGGGCGGAATGGGAGCAGGGCTGTCGTGGAAGCAAGAGCTGGGCACAAGAGTCGCTCCTCCTTTCTGTGAGGCGGAAGACAGGGGGCTTGCGGAAGCAGGAAGGGGGTGTGGTGGTAATTATGGTCTGGCGTTTATTGGAGCTCACTTGTGATTCTTGGAGAGCCCTTCTTACACACAAGCAGCAGGTGCGAGGGAAAGAGACGGACGTCCTTCCCAGACAGGGAAAGCGTGAGAAGCCCGAGGGGGAGGACAGAGGAGCCCGGCAGGAGGAGGGCGGAAAGCACCTTGACCTTGGCGTCACATGCCCTGGGCACTTGGTTGCTTCTGCAAAGTGTTCGCCTCTCGGGGCGTCCGTTTTCTTTTCTGTGAAATGGGGATTCTAGCTTCGCTTGGGCTGTAGGGTTTCCAGGCTGCGGGAGGCAGGGCAGGTGGTGGGTGGAAGGGCTTTGTAATCAGTGGGTTTCTCATGCACTGCAAACCAGGTGTGGGAGGGGAAGTCGAGGACATGAGAGGTGGAGGCGCCAGGGGCTGCTCCCCGGGAAGAGCTGGGGCTGAGGCTGAAGGAGGGGAAGGGCTGGAGTGGAGGACGGCCCCTGGAGGCTGCTCTCGGGCTCTTTCAGAACACGTATGACCGCTGCCCCATGGAGCTGGTCCGCTGCATCCGGCACATTCTGTACAACGAACAGAGGCTGGTCCGAGAAGCCAACAATGTGAGTGTCCCGTGGGGATGGGGAGGGGAGTCGGGAAGTCCTTTCTCTCATCATCTAAACCGTGTCTGTCTGCAACACCAGTAGGAGAGGGCACCAAAGACATAAGGCACACAGCAAGTATGAGAGGCAGCACGCCATGCGGGTGCGGAGCGGCCTCCGGGTCCAGTCCTTGGCTCTGCCACGTGCTAGCTGTGTGACGGGAGCAAGTTCCTTAATGTCTCTTAGCCTCTGTTTCTGCTATTGCAAAATAGGAATAGTGATGGTGCCTACCTGGTAGGGTTGTTGTGAGGATTAAATGAGATACTGTGTGGGCCAAGAATAGACGAAGAGACCCCTGGAACAGAGGAGGAGGCCCTCAACACACACACACACACACACACACACACACACACACACACACACACACACCCTGGTAACGTGATCTCTGTAAGGGATGGCTTTATACATCACCAGGGGAGAAGCTTGACACGCCATATATGGGGCTGAGGCCAAAATAAGAAGTGGACCCTGGTCGTGGCTGTGAGGAGATACGAAGCTGAGGTGTGTGTTGGAAGAATGAACAAGCAGCTCAGAGAAGTGAGGCCCGAGGAGGAGGGATAGGGACTCAGCTCTCACGTCCTGAAGTCATAGTCACTGACATGTACATGGACAGTGGCACAGGCACTATGTTATCTGCAGTGGAGCAAGATGAATTTCACAAAGTGATATCACAGCTATAAATCTTAGAATAACTCAGGAGGCCGAGGCGGGAGGATCACTTGAGGCCAGGAGTTCAAGACCAGCCTAGACAACATAGCAACAAAAAATGTAAAAAGATTTGCCAGGCATGGTGGTACACGCCTGTAGTCTCAGCTACTCGGGAGGCTGAGGCAGGAGGATTGCCTGAGTTCAGGATTTCATGGCTGCGATGAGCTGTGATCATGTCCCTACACTCCAGCCTGGGCAACACAGTGAGATCTTGTCTCTAAAAAACAAAAAACAAAATAGTGCCTGAGCACAGGTCATATTTATTACTTATTTATTGCTATGGGCACAGATTTCAGGAATGTTGCTTCTACTCAGTAAACATTTCTTTTGAGTCTGAGTCTCACTGTCACCCAGCCTGGAGTGCAGGGGCATGCTCACAGCCCTGCAACCTTGGCCTGCTGGGCTCAGGCAATCCTTCTGCCTCAGCCTTCCAAGTAGCCACTATGCCTGGCTGATTTTTGATTTATTATAGAGATGAGGTCTTGCCAAGTTGCCCAGGCTGATCTCGATCTCCTGGGCTCAGGCAGTCCCCTCACCTCTGCCTCCCAAATTGCTGGGATTACAGATGTAAGCCGCCATGCCCAGTAGTAAACATTTCTGGAGGTCCTACTGTGTGTCTGATGCTGGGCTAGGACTGCAGAAACAGAGAAAGGACTGGTCCATGTCTGGAGGGAGTTTCTGCAGCGATAGATTCTCTAGTGAGGAGTTGAGGGCTAAGGGGACATGAGGACACCAGTGCCATTGACGTGCATTGGCATTGGAAAAGTCAGGGACATGGGTTATCCTGGAAGACCCTTTGGGACCTGGTTTCTGTCCCCTCTCTGTTTTTAACTATGGCAAACCTAACTCAGATGGGGCCGGCTGGCAGGGGAGTGTCCTGAGAACAGGCTATCTGAACGTCAGTGAAGAAAGAGGCAGGGAAGGAGGCGGGATGAGTGTCCTCGTCAAAAGTGACAGCACACACTCGAGTGCAGAAAGACATTTGAAGACTCACAGGCTGTTACGGTTGACGCCTCCCAGTGTCTTCAGTTTGGAGTCTCCACCATGCTTGTGAGGGGTTCAGTCTCTCCCCTCTTCCTTCGCCACAAGAAGGTCTTGAGTGAAGACACAGTCATGTGGGTAGTCTCCATAGTAAAAAAAACAGAGGGGACAGAAGCCAGATCCCAAAGGGTCTTCCAGGACAACTCCTGTGTCCCTGACTTTTCCAATGCCAAATACACGTCACTGGCACTGCTGTCTTCATGGTCCTTCTCCCAGCCCTAAGCTTGTTCTCAAACACCTTGGAGATTCTGTGGTACACAGGACAGACAAGGTCCTAGCATTTGGGGACTTCACATCCTTGTCCTGGGAGACAGACTAGTAACAAGCAAACAAATACAAGAACAAGACACGTCCAGTAAAAGCAGTACTTCTGTGAATTGGCCCACCAGAGAGGACCACTCTGAAAGAGACCTGTTAAAGCCCTTGCTTCAGGAGGGTTTGGTCTAGAATGTTCCAGACCAATGGAACCACAAGTGCAAGGGCCCCAAGGCAGGAACGTGCCTATGTGCTCAAGGAATAGAAACAGAAAGCTCGCGTGGCCAGTGTGCTCCATCAGCCAGTAGCTGAGCTGTCTGCAGGGCCAGCGGAGGCTTGTGAGAGGGAGTTTGAATTGAATTCTGAGGCCAGTTCATTGGAAGGTCCCTGAAGAGTTGGTCCCCTCTCAGCCAGGTGTTGAAGGAATGGCTGGATCCAAGGAGGCCTTGTTGACCCCTCCCCGTGACTTCATTTTGGGGTCTCCAGCATGCCTGTGAGAGGTTCGGCCTCTTCCCTCTTCCTTGGTCGCAGGAAGGTCAAGAGTGAGGACACAGGCGAGTGTGTTCACACACCCCTGTTCCTC